TGTCTACAGAGTACCTAATATAAGTATCTGGCACATAATAAGTGCTCAGTACTATGGTTTTATTGCCCTTACATTGTGAGAAACTTACTACTTTGGGAAACAATCAAGTGTTCCTTACCCAACCTTTTAGAATTTTATTTTTCAACTTTCATACATCTCCTATAATTTAATATTATTGAGTATTATATAACGCAAGCTACAACTACTTTATTTCCAATCCAAAAGCTCTGAAACCAAATATTTTTTCTTAAATTGTGTTTCTGATATAATCTGGCAACAAAATTCCAATTTAAATGGGTAAGAAGCTATTTGTATTCATTTACATTGGACCTGGAATAATTATTTGTACATTTGAATACAATAATATTAATATGTATTTTGGATCCAGATGACACCAGAGGCAATGTAGAATATAGACTATATGTTGAACCAGCTTTCTAAAATACAAACAATTTTGGATATGAGACATCTGATCTACAATACTGCAAAGACAGGGTTGAAAACCTGTGATTTAATGTACTGCCTTTGTTCACAGTCCTATTTCCAGCACTGGCAAACCCTTAATAAGCATTAATTTCATGTGAGAGCAAAAGATGGTAAGGATGTTATAAGGGAATTTTAACTATGGAAAATGAATATCATCTGTGGTTTTTTTTTTTTTAACTGTATCCGATATTTATCCCAGGAAAATTCTATTTCCTTCTGAGGTCCTCTCAGGATCTTGTTTTTGTTTTTTCAGCTCTAAGATTTCAGTGCTCGTCTTTTGCATCCTGACTGTGGTGTCAGGAGAAAAATCTTTTGCTTTTCTTATTCTCAGGAGGCAGGTGCAAAATAGCGAGACCTGGAAGTTGTTTCCTGTTTGGTTTTTAATATTTTTACATGCAAATTGACTAAGATATCAAAGAAGGCAACAAAAGCATAGACAAATTATTCAAGAAAGAAATGAAAGACAAAGAGATGGAGAAGCTGTTGAGCTCCGACTACAAACTACTGGCTAAACAACAACAATGGAAAAACTCATAATTTCATCTAGAAATAAATTTGGTTTCAACAACTTGTATGTTTGATGAAATTCTACCCAAATACTACTCCTGTTCCTGAGAACCATATCAAGACTTCCTTGTTTTCTTTATTACTTCAACTAAATACTCTAGCACTCTTAAATATCTTATCATCTGATCAATCTGAAGAACATATAGTTCCTTAATGATGAATCATGTTGTTATTCCTTTATATCGTCACATTATAATGCCCTTGTCTGACTAAGTTGCACCTAGGAGTGAGATATAAGGTTGTCCTTGGCTCCTCCTGAAAGCCTTCTGATTCTGTCTGGCTCTACCTTTTCTGCTTAGATGGCTGCCCACATTCTCTCATATCTTCTAGTAGTCCTTTTAGCATAGAACTTATTGCATGCTATGCATTTATTTGTCTTGTCCCTTAATTATTTACAAATAGACTCCTGGGCCATTGATAGGGCATCTTCCCAAATCATGTACTGTCCTTAAATAGCCATTTGGAAGGATTCCTTAAGACTATGGCTTTGGAAGAAGTTTCTATACACTGACTTCTCTATTCTGATTATTTTGTAAAGCAGAACATAGACAACAGTGGCCATGACTACCTACAGCCATGTTTTGTTTAAGTGTTTAATTTCTTTAAATCAATTGCCAGCATCTAAAAATCAGGATATTGTACTGGGAAACTGTTGCAAGACTATATTTTCCCAAAATGGCTGTGATGGTTTAGATCTAACTTGTCTTCCAAAACACTCATTTGTCAGATCTGAAGTGATCGAAAGGCCACTGGATCATGGAGTTGCTCTACTCATCGTTGAACCCACCTATGGATGGGTTCATAGCAGAATGCGCTGTCAGGAGGAGTGGCCATCACAGATTTTCCTTAATCTATGATCTGCTAACAATTCTTGCTTAACATTTGGGTATCAGGCAATTTTCTCAAAATCTTGTAAAATTACATGATTTCAGAAGGCTGATCTCTGAAAATGTTAATATCTTTGAGACATACATAAAAATGGAGTATGAGAACTTGACAGAATTTGTTCCAATTAAAGGTGTTACTCACAGGATGGAACTTGTTGTACGTCAAAGACTTCAAGGGAGTGAAACCGCCGGAAACAGCAAGAGAAGTTCTACAGTTTGAAGCTCACATAATAAACTCATCAATCTATTTCTTTACTTCTTCTTTTGATAGTCACACAGCAAGAGAAAAGGCTGATTGGAGATTGCTTAGATTATCCTCTTTAGCAGTCATTCATATGTCATTCAGTTAGGCTGCCTCCTGAGTAATCTTCAGTAAAGTACCTTTTCTGATCCATTTGAAATTTTCCAGAACTAATGATGTCTTACAAAACAACAGGGATTAATTAAAGTTGCTAAAGCTTCTGAACTCCAGGTGAACCTTTGTAGGGTTGTCACCTGGTGAACTTCCTCTGTCGTCTCGGGTGAGGATGATAGAATTACGCCACTTAAGTGTCTCCAGCCTCACACCTGCTATCCACATATCTGCGCTCACGTGCGCTAACTACTCAGTTAAAGGCACACAAAAGAACTCCCTTCATCTCCGTTCTGCTAAGTCACACATTTTCTTTTCTTTCATCTTCAAGATTTTAAACCAGCATTTCTTCTGACTGGGACTGGCACAAATCAAATAATATTTATATTCTTTGCCAAAGTAATGTTCAAGTGCTTTATAAATTCTGGAGAAATTGAATGCTCATGTTTCATTTTATTTTTTTAGAAATGTTTTTCCTCCATAAATTCAAATCTTATACTTCAAAGTTCAACTGAAGAGTCACCACTTGAAAAAAAACTAGACTGAAACTGATAAAAAAGGAACTTTTTCTGTCCTAATTTCTAACAGTTGATTACCCTCTAAATGTTTATTTATTCAAAAGAAGTAAATAAATATTTATAAGAAGTTATATAACACATTCAAAGAGTTTGCTATTAACTCTTCAAATTGTTAGAGAAGTATTAAAATATATTAAAATTAAAAGATAAGTATTTTTGCTGTATGGTTGCACACTTAATGTACTACTGTGCAATGGTTTACTACCAATTCAAGAACATTACAGACGTTCCAATTTGAAAATATTACAGATTTTCTAAATATGTAGCCAATTTGCACAAAATGCTCGGTTTAGTGTTTGTGATGTGATGTCAAAGATTCCTGTCTCCTAAATAACTGCTGTGTTCCAGTAACTGGAACAATGAAAATATTACTCACAGCAGAAGCCCCTGGCTGGTCCTGGCTCTTCCAGTTAACCAACTACAAACTAACCAATTACTCATTGTGGAGGAGGATCATTCCCATAGCGATATTGAAAGTCACACTTGGCTTCAAAGGCGGCTGTTCATGCTCATCTTTTCCATAATTGTTCTCAGTGTTTTCTCGAAGTGGAACTCCCTCACTGTTTTCACGGTGCCATCCCTCAGCTCACTGAAAATCTAAACTCTGCATACACATAGCAAGCTTCCTTTGGGTCAGAATGACCTTAAAGTGTTACTTTCTTAGCCATCTGCCTCATCCAAATATTACTTAATAGTCCTTAAAGGAGACTTAGTATTCAGGTCCCATTCGGTGACCGCAAACTTGGTCAGTGAATGATTCATGCCATAATGATTTTGAATGATTAGTTCTACAGACTTCTGTCTACTGAATAAGGGAGAGGAGCACTTAACTATTACATGGGTCATCTCTATTTTCTATGAGAAGAATCAAGATGTAATATGTACAGGCACAAATTGCTTATGATGAATGTGATCATTATGTATATCAAAAGTATATAATAAAATTAATTTTAAAATATAATTTGTTTCATACAAATTTTATTCATACTTGCCAAAACACATGAACAACCTATGTGTCCTACAGTTGGTGAATGATGAAACAAGACTGTGACACATCCATACAGTGAAACATTGTGCAGTAATGAAAAGGAACAGCATATTGATACAATATGCATAAATATCAAGTGCATTATGGTAAAAAATCAGAAGCAACAGGCTATTGTATTTCTTCTACTTATAGGACAGTCTAGAAAGGGCAAAGGTATAGTGACAAGAGACAGATTATAATTTCCAGGGCGCTGTGCTGGGGGAACCCGTGATATCAAAGGACCATGAGAACCTTTTGGGTGGATGAAAATGCTGCACACCTTAATATTTTCAGCAGTTATATTGAAGTCTGCATTTTTTTCAAGTGCATTCGACCTCACTCTAAATGGGTAAGTTTTACTGTAAATAGCACCTCAAAAATGTGACTTTAAAGGAGTAAAGATTCATAAGTATCACAAATTTGGGGTAAATCTAAATATATTCAACCATCATTAGAGATCCATGACAAAAGGAAAGGAATTTTTTACTTTGCAAGATATTTTAAGAATTTGCTCCTGGCTTTTGTGGCTTTCTTCGTGGTAACCTGCTGTGTGTCCCCAGGGTGCACTTTTATTTTTATTTTTGTTTATCTCTTTTCCTGGGCCCTGGCTTGCTCTGCAAAGCCAGTTTCTCCCTTACTTTTCCCTTTTAATTTTTCCTACCTCCAATAACTCCGCCACCATTAAATAAGAAAGAATATGCCCCTTTTCCAAGTACCAATAACATATCCCTATCTTTTGTTTTTCAAATGAAAATTACATTTTAGAAGTCACATTGAACAAGTTCCTTGATTTTACTGCTACCTTAATTACAAGTTTACTAAAATAATCTCTAAAAACTAGAGTATTTAGCTAGAAATAAGCCTGTTTAATGAGTTGATTAGTCATGATGATCAGTCTCAAAACAACGTATTAGTATAATTTCACTGTTTGCACTTGCAAGATTCTCATACTTTGCTTCTCATACATAGTCTAGTAAGCAACTTAATAATTTAAAAAGATAACAGAGGAGAGCCAACTGCTTGAAGCTCTTGCACAAGATAACATATTCAGATTCAAGAAATGACACCCCTATGATGGCTGCTTTCGACTGGCAGTGCCTCACCTTTGTGTTTGTGGCGCATAGCTGCTGTCATAAGCCTCATAGGTCTGCTCGTCATACTCCTCTCCATAGCCATCATCATATCCCTGAGACAGAAGACAGTAGAAACTTGGATTACAAAATTTGTCTTATGAACTCTGGTCTACTTTGGTTAATGAGGTTTTCTACAGTATGACCTTGGCTTAGCTTTTAGGCTTGGTTAGAGAGCATGTATCACATTTTACTAGATTAATAATTCCACATAACCATGAACAATAGTATGTGAGCCAAGTACTAATGTTGATTAATTAAAAGCATATCAAACCTGCTCTAAGATTTATTTAGAGTTGTTACTGATATCAGTGAAGAAATTCAAAATAGAGCAACTTACGTGATAAGAAATGGTGGTGCTAATATGTTTGTTACAACTAAAAGGGAGGTTGTTCCTACTAATCATAATCATAATCATAGTTAAGACACAAAACATAAAGTACAGGATCCTTAAATGGTGCTCAATGTTCAGTAAAAAAAATCTGCAGTCATTATTGATAAAATAAATAACTAAATAAATGGAAAGAGAACAGGAAGGAGTGATACAAAGACTACTTATTTTGTTGGATGCATTATCATTTTCAATCTTAGTAATAAAATAATATTATGTGGTGAGTTTGATTACCTGAGTTATGCTAACCAAATGAATGCTAATTTGTCATCTCAGAGTGCTAAAGCAAGCTAGCAATTACATACTCTAGTTATCAATCACTCGGTGTGTGGTTCAGCGCTTTTTCCTCTGTGGTCATTGACTTTAAAACCTTGCCATCCATCTTGATTTCTCTTTAGTTCTGGAAAGTCCTGTGGCTTTTCTTTTAGATATTTGCTGATACATTCCTTTCCAAAATGTATTTTTACATTCCTACCACTTTATACATTCATTTCAATCTGAAGGCTTATAAATCTGTTTTTGTCTGATGCCAGAAATTGAAATAGAAAATACTGAGATGTATAAATTTCCCCATTTATATTGGCTAAACTTTTAAATCAATTTATTTGGAAAAATAATTTTTTATCACTTTAAGAAAGTTTTTAAAATATTACAAATCCATTTATTTCTTTTGTCTTGCCTGACTTGCCCTTTACACAATGCTATTACGCACACATGACATTTTATGAATTTGACTTCTATTTTTCCATTTTTAAATTCATGATTTCTGCTTTGTCATATTTTTGCCCTGCAGTATGAGATAGTTTCTCCATTTGATCTTTAAATACTTTGATTTTTAAAAATGTAAATATTTTAATATCACCTTTAGAATAGAACATATAAAAGATTCTTCATAACTTTTAAAATTTATACAAGATTTACACACTATTTAAAACAATACTGAAGGTTTTGTTTAAAAATAGTAACAACATGTATTCTTCCCAAACAAGCTGTCTTTATATTTATTAATTTAGCATTTTTGTGTTATTAAGTAGTATAGTTGCATTGCTTGACGTGAATTTCAGCTTTTTTCTATTGTCAGCCATTGAGGTTAAGATTCAGTTCTGTTATAGATTCCTCCCCGTCTTGCTCACATTCCTATTTCCTGATATACTCTTATCATATTTTTGTTAAATATAGTCAATGTCATTATTATTAATAATATATAATTACTATTATTAAAAAATTATATAATACAATTTAATCAAAATTATTATGTAATGTAGTTCTTTAATTTTCCTTTCTATTTAAGTTTTTCTAAAGTTAATGGTCCTTAATTTTACTATGTTCTTGGGTTTCTACTTACTTAGAATTAGTTGTCTTTATTTCACAAATATTCATATAAAACAAGTGATTTTCTAAATCCTCAAAGCCATCTGATAGCTTATCATTTCCCTCCGGGTGACATGGACCCTGGCTCCCTAATATCCACCACTGCAGGCTGGTCCTGGCTGATGGACATCTAGGCCTGAAAGCAGGTGAGTTTGCCTAGGACCGCGTCTAACACTGCACTCTTTTACCAATGTCATCTTTTCTCAGATCTCTATTCTTGCTGAAACATTTCTTTCAGTAACCTCTACTAAGAGGAATTTCAGAAAGAAATATTTTGATTTTCTCTCTTCCTCTTGTTAAGCTTTACACTCACTCTCTTATTCACTGTAGGTTTTTAAATTTTGAAGTGAAATTTTTCAATTGTACAGGGATTTTTGAGTAATAGTATAATAATGAAAACTCATCTACCAACTCTTGAGAATATATACTGATATATATGTTGTCATGTTATATAAATATGTTTTTTCTTTAATTAAAAACTCTTAAGGTCAAAAATTATCTTCAGAAACTTGTGAACTTTGATGCAATGTTTTTTACCATTGCATGTTGCTGGTTACTTGTACATAACCCATATTTGTTTTATTTCTTCTTTTCTTTTTTATTTTATAAATACTCATAATTTTTGTGGTTCTACTGCTTTTACATTTTATTTTTATTAACAAGCACTGATTACACATGCTAATGAATCTCAGCATAAGATTTGCACACATGCATGCAGCATGCACTAATTAAATCCATCCTCTGTTCTCATACCCACATCTTCCCAGATGCTACTCTCTCCCATTCTACATTTCTACCACTTCCATATACGACAGAACACGGAGTACTGGTCTTTCTGTGTCTGATTTATTTCACTGAGCATAGTGTCCTCCCATTGCATTCACCTTGCAGCATACAGTCAGATTTCACTCTTTATGGCTGAGTAATAGGCAGTGCATGTAGTGTTGTGAATTCCACAGTACCATGATGGCGCCTTTGCCCACTGGCTTAGCTGGGTACTCAAGGAGTTCTTTTCATCTAGAGGTTTATGTTCTTTAGGTATGAGAAATGTCTCTCCAGTTTTTCTTTCCCTTCCGAGTTCTCTTACTAAGACTTTGGGTCTTCTGGATTGGTACACTAATTTTATCTTTTTGTTCTATGTGATCCTTTTATTTTTATTTTACTTAATGAAAGAATTCCATAACATCATCTTCTATCATCCTATGACACATTTAACTTCAGTTTCCATACACGGGAATCAACTAATAGAGCGTGGAGAGGATTTCTGCATTTTCAGATACACAGTTTAAGCGTCCCATCCTCGGCCTCCTGGTTCACTCATCTCACCTTAACAACCCAGCTGGAATTCCCCAGGGCTGCAAGTCAGGGCAGTGCAGCTCTCTATGCTGGGGATCCACTGGGTCAGTAAACGGGCCTGCTGATTCTTGCTGTGAGTGCCTCAGGGGTGCAAGCACCCACTCAAGCATCCAGCCTCTTGGTTTTCCCCCATGGTTACCAAGTGGCTTCACTCACCTCCTCTTCTTATTTAGACCTCATCAGCTGTAGCTTGCAGTAAAAGGTAAGCACATCTTAACCTGTTCTGTTTTGTTTTATTTTATATTTTTATTTATATACCACAGCATATCACAGCAAGAAGCCGGAAGAGGCAAGGGGAGGGTAGGTATGTTTTCAGGGCACAGAGGACCCTCAATTCTCTGTTTCCCCCATTTCCATCTATTAAAATGCTACTGACCATTCACGGTCATTTTCCGGCATACTATCTTTTTTTTTCTCATGATGTTATCTTCAGGAAGCATTTCTTTTCCTTCCAAAGCATATGATGACTTTTACTGCTCAGAATCCTAACAGCCTGTTGTTTCCTCTGACCAATGCTTCAAATATCTAAGCATGTAGTGCATTTATTTTTCTGAATTTTTCTTTTGTTAGAATTTAAGGTCTTGAAAAGCAAAGATTATATCATAATCAATTTATTTATTTATTTATTTTATTTATTTTATTTTATTTTTGGTTTTTGGTTTTTCTCCGGTACCGGGAACCGAACTCACGACCTTGTGCTTGCCAGGCAGGCACTTTGCCGCTGAGCTAAATCCCCAGCCCCTCATAATCAATTTATAATGGCTTGTGGTGATTAGCATAGAGGATTCTGTAGAGCAGACATTCAGTAAGTATGGACTTAATTATTAAGATAGCACAAAGACTACTCTTTTCTAGTGTAGATATAGATTGACTCAAATCAATTATCGCTAAAAAAATATTTCAAATGACAAGTATATAGCAGTACCATCTCTATAAGGGATAGATATATCATTTGCTTTAGGGAGACTCTTACGTTTTACATTCAGTCACTTATATTTGTGCTATTTTAAGTACTACAGAGAAAATCTGTATAATAGAAATTAAGCCCCACTTCTATAAAGCATAGTATGCAATGGCCTCCAAATGACTGCACTTGCTATAAAAGAGAAAGTAAATGTGGATGCATGCATATAATTCATTTTTTGTTTTCTAATACTTGACGTTTTTAAAATCATCTTTAATGAGGAGTATTTACAAACACAAATATTTGTAAAGATATTTGGTGCAAGTAAATGTTAAAAATGCACAATACTACCCAAGAGTAAAGTATGCTTAGACCACAGTCACAAAATAAAAAGCTTCATAACGTTAAGGATGGCACCCCCCATCCTAAATATTATTCATGAGTAAGTCCTCATTGTATAAATCAGATCGCTGTCCTAGTGCTAACATGAAAGAAGTAATCAGGGGCTTTTCTGAAGGAGAATGAAAACAAAAGCATTCAGGACAAAAGGCTGAGCATAGCCGGAGTCTAAAATATAGCCAGGAAGGGCACAAACACTGGCTTCGTTCTCCTGCCTCTGAGTACTAGGGAATCCAACAAGATTCCCAGATGTGAAACCTCAGGCAAGATTTCAATCTTTCCATACCTCAGCTTCCTCATTTGTAAAACAGGGAATGATACAAACTATCTAATAATTTTATTATAAGAATTTAGCTACATAGTACTCATAAACCGTGCGTGCGGGCGCACACGTAACACCCCAACACACCACACCACATCTACTGTAGTCATTGCTCAATAACTATTACTATTTTGGTCAAAGAAGCTGGCTTTGAGAACAGCATTATGAATACTTTAGAGACCAAATGGAACTCGTGAGGACCAGCAGAAGCAGAATCAAATTTAGGAAGAATGAAAGCCAAGAGAATTCTCTTCTACCTCGAAATTATGTCAATATACAGACCTTCCTTCCTTCTTAAGAATTGGAATGGGGG